GACTCCGTTGTGGCTGGGCAAGGTAGCGGAGAAACTCCAGGAGAATGAATATGGCACAGTTGGAGAGTTTGTGTCCGACGTGCAGCTCATTTTCACCAACTGTACCACGTACAACCGCGTAAGAAACTGTCCTGAAAAACCTCTAAACATCAAAAGTTAAGATTTCTTTACAAAAATGGAAATGAGACAGTAACAAGGACTGCTGTGTTCTTTTGCAGCACAACGCCGTATTCCGTTCCCTGGGCGACCAACTGAAGGAGTTATTTGATGGAGAATTCAAGAAGGCGTTCAACATCTGTGAACCAACTGTTGGCTGATAACCAGTGTCTGCTTTTCAAACTCAGTGATTGTTGGGAAACGGTTATAAATGAGTAAAGGTTATAGCTATTTCCTGAGACCCCAGTTAAAAGGAACCCGACCAAAGAGCTACTGTAATGCTAATCAAGAGGAAGCGGGGACTTTACATGTGGCAATTCTAATATATAAATGGTTGAGTTACCGTATAACCAGTGTTACCAAGCCCCAGCAAACAGACGTGTCCAATGTTTGAATGTAACCGAATTCTACTGGAATGAATTAAAATAGATTTGTCCTATTTATTTTGTTTTCTCACAAAAGGGACAGTATGAACTTTACAAACTTGTTACCTTTTCTTTAGTGTTTTTATTCGGTACAAGAATTTGCACAAGAGGAAATTATTTTTTGTAATATTTAAAACAGTTATGTATAAACTTACTTCCATCCAGAGAATGTACTGACATGTTTTTCTGATATGCTGGGTGATGGCTTGGCCGTATTTGCCTCTTGGACAGTGTCTTTCACAATCTCTGTGCCACTAAAATATTCTCTTTTGCTCTCTCTGATCTGTTCAATGTCTGTTTTTAAAATAAAATATTTGTATTTTTAATGCCATAGCCTCGACATATTTTGTTAAAGCTATTCGTAAGCTTCAGCTCTGCATTTGTCACCGTCACCACCCACAAGCTGGTCAGCACACTGACCAACCCGGGCCTTGGTCCCTCATCGTGCAGGTAAGGGCCGGTAAGTCCACGACCGAACTGTGCATCAGATTTCACTTGGTTTGTGCTGATTTAAGGTGAAATGGAGAAGGGGCTCAACTGGTTTACCTCCAGTTAATTCCAGTGAAATGTTTTTTGTAGGGGGACAGCAGGTCATCTGAACACACAAATGTCAAATCTGTGAACAGGCACGAAATGAAAATAATCACAAAAGAAGTTTTAATCATAAATGAGTTGACCCAACAGGAGGTGGATATATCTCCAGTTAAATCCTGACAGTAATCTCATTTTGACGCGTCATCGTTCAGTCTGACGTGTGTGTGCGCTCAGATGACGTCACTGTTGGCTGATAAACAGCATTATCCCATGTGCGCTCAGATGACGTCACTGTGACAGTTACCAGCAGCAAATCTGTGCTGAGAGCTGCGCAGCCGCTCTGCGCATCCGTCGGGCTGAGGCGACCAGCGCAGCCATTTCTCTGGCCCTCATGAAAAACGCACAGGAGGGCAGCGTTTGTCCATCACGCACATAACTGACCTGACGTGCGGGAGTCATGACTCTCGCAGCGCATGCCGAAGCTGAACTCCGCATCGCCGACTGACACCTAAACTTTCTCCAAATTCAACGCCTGCGCAGACAAAACACAGCGTCTCCTTCCTTTGGCTTCGGTGTGTGTTTCCCTGTCAGCCATGGAGGGAAATCTGCGGGGAGGCAGCAGCGACGTCGCAACAATGCATGTGAAAACTGAAGCGCTGGAAGAAAACGCACCGGCGCTGGCTGTGGGCAGTCGGGAGTCGCCTGCGCCCTGCGGAGATACCGCATGCAGAGGCGGGGAAGGAGGAGCGGACCAGACTGCGGAGGAGCTGACTGACACCACAGCTGCTCCTGTGCTGCTGTGTGAGTGCTCACAGGAGCTGGCTTCTTATGTTTAACGTGGTCTTTCTCCTCTTTAAGGTGCAAAACTATTTGTCTCAAGATTCGTTTTCAATTCGGTATGATACTGTTAAAATTCAACACACTTTAAATCATCGCTACTGTAAATCTGTTGCTCTGTCATGAGAAAATATGTCTTTTCTCTGTCTAA